AACTCACAAGAAACATTAATATTGTGGTATTTGTATTCTTTTATGTGTAGTGTCCCTTCTGGAGATGAGTGATCATGGCTCTCCACAACTTCTGGTCTTTTGTTGCTCTAAGTAACTTTTCATACTTTACCATCTGTCTTTGTCCCAGTTCTTATCATCCATACACTTCTTCTTTTATATGCTATGTCTCTTCAGAACCTGGGTGATCATGGCTCTCCACAACTTCTTCATTTTGTTGCTCTAAGTAAGTTTACCACCTCTCTTTATCCTTGTTCTGTCCCTCTTATACTTTTTCTTGTTTTATATGCCATGTCTCTTTGGGACAGGTATATTCATGGCTCTCCACAACTTTCTCTCTTGTGTTGCTCTAAGTAACTTTTACTCCTTTACCATCCCTCTTTGTCCTTGATCCTGCATACATTCACTAAAACTTGTTAAGTAGGTTATGTACTGTTGTCCCATTCTTCTCTTGTTTTCAATATGCCCTGTGAGTGTTAAATTCTCCAAGCCCTATTTCTTCAGTATGTATCCAGATTTTTAGTTGTTTCATTTTGATTGTTAGCATCAGTTTCCTTGTAGTTCCTAATTTCTTTGAAACTTCCTTGTTACTCACATGTTCTTAATTAGTTAATCTTGAAAAAGTTTCCAGCACCTCCTCTGGCACAATGTTAAGGAAATCTTAGAACTATCTTTGAAATTTATTAAGTTCTTTATTGCTTGTGCAGTTAGTCAACACTAACACATTATTCATGCTTTATGAAAGATTCAGAAATTGGTAAAATGGATTCCATATAATCTTTTGGAAAGGAACATCTATCAACATTTAAGCACTCTAGATATTTCTCTTGTTTAAATGGAGAGAAAAAATGTCATTTGTAGGCAAGATTGTCACTGGCAGTGAAAAATACATTTATTATGAGAATTGAGAAACAAAATAAATTATGGCTAGATGCAGGAGATCCTTTCAATATCTCAACCTGAATGGAATCTATAAGAGAAAAAGTTATTTTTTTTAAATTTGAAATCTCTGCAAACTGTCCAATAGTATAGTGAGTCTTTGGCTTGTTTGAAGGATGTTTTGGTAGGGAAGAGGTCATTTTCCTAACCAAAGGGGTTAACTTGTGATTTTGCTAAATGACAACATCTATTCTCAAACTGAAAATATCATGCAGCAAAGAAGCATAAATAGGAAGTACTTGCATGTTTAGTGAATTCTCTAGACCTCTCACTTTCAAACAATCAAAAGAAAGGTGGTATAAGATTATAAATAAACTCCTGGAAAATTCTTTTATGACTGATACTAATGTTCACCCAATACAAGGCCCAAGAGCCATTCAAGGTAGAAGTATACTGTGTTGTGATGTATGAATGGAAGAAAAGGCAATAAGTGAAGTACATGGGGTTAAGCAGGAAAGATAATCGTTAACCCAAGACTTGAAGAGGTCAAAATTGTAGTGATTGGGAAAACATCCTACCAGAAGTGTGTTCCACAAAGCAGCAGTTCTTGGGAAGAAGCTGAGTGGAATTTACTTTTTACTAATGGAGCACAAAGGAAATGGAGATGATTCATCCATGTGTACAGGGCATGGTGAGTCCAAGTTGTAAAGGTCAGGGCTGTTGGACCCAAGGAATGTAGCTCGTCAAAACACAGGCCATGGAAATAGTGATAGAACTGCAAGAAGCTCCCAAAATTTTGTCTGTAGGAAATGGGTTGTAGGGTTGAAAATAATTCCTCACTCACAAATCTACATAGACACTTTTGTATTTTATCAAGACAAGAAAGTGAGTAATGTGCAGCTCCAGCCCAGATATTTCAATACTTCATTTTTGGACTGACCTGACTCTTGTAAAAGCAGGTGGAGTATATTGAAATATTTAGTGAAGTGGTTCAATGAATGAACCATGATAAGAATGAAAAAATTTATCAGAAGATGCATAAAACTTTTGCATCAACTTAGTAATATATGTCCTGACATCTAAACTTCAGCCACTTTCCCACCACTGTAACATAGCTTCTCTTTGTCTTTTCTATAAATAATTTCATAGTAATTGTTCTGATGAACTTTCCTCTTTGCTACCTTGATTTTACAAATTTAAGTGCATTACTAGATTGGCAACTAGGTCTCATCACTTTACAGTTGAAATGGCTGCATGTAACCATAAGTAACATGAAACTTTAAGTTCTATGCTAACAGTTTCTTGCTTATGGGATTCTTTTCTGACTTCTTGCTTTCCAGTCAACTTTGATCTTCAAAAGTTTTAATACAATGTTAGTTGTTATCATCTGTCTTCTAATACCTGTTCTTTTATTGTCCTCTCTCGCTAATAACTCAGTAACCTTTTGTGTCTTAGTGGGTTTTATTGTCTTGCTTGGGTGAAATAATTTAAAAAATTAACTTAAAATATGATTAGTATTTATATTTAACTCGATTCACATTAATTAGTTTGAACCTAAACTTTGTGCAGAAGGTTATTCAGACAAAGCAGGTTTCTAATCTTGGGCCTAAGTAAAGAATGTTTAGTAAATGAAGAAAATAGCAGTAGCTATGATAACCAAGTTAAGAAAACTTCCATGTTTCCATTGATAATATTTTGGCTGTTGATTGTTTAATCTCTTAGCCACATGTGGCAAAAGTAATGAAACCTCTTCTTGAAATAGTTTAAACTTTCAGAACAAAACTTTTTTAATGAAAATAATAATGTTTCCAAATTCTTTTTATATCTTTTTTAACCTTCTTGACATCATGAACAGTTTGTTATAAATAAGCATATAAATATTGGGTTGGGACAAAACCTTGTAGCATTTTTCAGTAGGTGATGGAACATCAATAATTTATTATGAATCTTTTTCATCAATTTTTAAAAAAAATCATTTCACCCTCAAGCAAGGCAATAAAGCCACAAGAGGTTTACTGAGAATGAAAGAAAGAAATATTATTGAGGAGAGAGGACAGTAAAGGATTAGGATTCAAGGAGACAGAAAATGATGATTGATGTTGCATTTAAATTTTTGAAGAAACTGAAAGAGAGTTCCACATGCGAAAAATGCAAGGGAAGAAACTGTTATTATAGAACTTATGATTACATCTTACTACAGTTCAGGAAGTTGAGGTATCAAAGAGGAAAGATTATCAGAATAATTACAATGAAAATATCTATAGAAAAAGCAAGGAAAGCTACATTAGAGCATGAGATGCCAGGTCAAGACCAGTAACATTGCTGATTCTTCTTTGAATTTTGTTAAGAATACATAGAAGCACCAGGTCAGATGTGACAACAATACTCCATGCACAGACAAATGGTAGACTTATTAAAGTGCAAGATAGATTCTGGCAAGAAAATTTGTCTAGAATAACACAATAAATGTATGAACTTTCCTAGCAGCAAACCTAGCAATTGATTCAATAAAATCTATATACTTCATATACTTCTTTTCACTTCACATAAATAACATAAAATGTTAGGCTGAGAAAACACAATGAGTTATTTTCCTGAAGATTATCATCAGTCATGCTGATGGAAGGCAAAAATGGTGCTCTAAGATGATTAGTATAAGCAGTTTCATTTTGGAGACATTAAAATTAATAAACCATTTCTTGCCTCAGTTAACAACTGATTGAAAGTCCTTTTTGAGATAAGCTGCCAATTTCACCTAATAGTGTTGTTACACGTGTTGTTACTGAAATACTTTCAGTAAATTTCAGTAAGTAACCTAATAGTGTTGTTACAAGTGTTGTTACTGAAATACTTTCTGTAAGTTTTGACATTTTGGCAATCTTGGACCTTCATGCCAACAAAAAAACTGGAGTATCAAAACAATGGTTTTTCCCTTGACACTGCTATTATTTTAACCCCCTTCACTACCTGGCTATCTGTATTGTTTTAAAAGGCAATGATTAGAATTTTAATGAAAGTGAATTTTTTAGTTCTTGAGAATTTACAACAAAGATATCAAACACTATTTATATATTAGCTTGTTTTTACAGGAATAATTTTATATTTACAACATTCTAAAACTAATGCAATTGTATTAAAACTAATGCAATGCAATATTTACCATTTAATAATTTATAAAAATATAAATATGAAAACAATTTTTTATTCATAAATTTATAGACGTTTACTAAATTATTAAAATATGTGAACCAACTATAAGGAAATCCTTATTATTTACTATTTTATAAATTTCAAATTAATTGGTAATGAGCCTATGTTTTACAAACAATTCCAATAAACAATATAATAAATAATGTTTAATATTTTTGTTATAAATTCTGTAGAACGAAGAAAATGTATAAATTTACTTTCATATGCTTAGATTTTATTAGAAATCTAATCACCACTTTTTAATACAATAAACATTGCCAAAGAGTGAAGGTAGTTAAAATAATAGTGGTATCAAGGGAAAAATCATCCTTTTGAGACACTGTTTTTTGTGTGCACAAAGGTCCAAGATTGCTAAAATTTTACTTCATTCTTTTTTACCGAACTTTTCTTGTACTGACATGTTTCCATCATTTCTTTTTCTAACATTGATTTTTTAATTCATACCAAAAATTTTGAATAGCATTTTGACAAGTGATTGTGAAGGCCAAGAAGATTGAAATCAGCATAGGAATAGAAAGGGATTAAACACCATGCATTTTTGTGGGCTTTATGAGATACTTAACTCTTCCACTACTTTAGTCACAGTCTTTTGTTTTAATAGTGCATGTACCCTGGGTAGTATATTTTTGTGGTAACTTGATATGTGATGGCCAAGCATTGAGTAATGTTCAACTCCATAAGCATCAACAGTGAACCATGGGATATTGATCTTTTTCTTTTCCATTCGTTCAGTTACTAACTTTGATTTGAGTCAATTTATCTGTGATCATTGTCTTGTTGGAATATCCAGTTTTTAATCATGCAGAGATTTTAGGTAAAACCTTTCAAATTACCCTTGAGAATACCCAGTTCTTTTGCTTAACACAACTTGACCAACAATGTTTATATTAAAGCCTCCACACAATATCGTGGAACCTCCTCCCATGGTTCACTGTTGATGCTTATGGAGTTGAACATTACTCAATGCTTGGCCGTCTCATATCAAGTTACCACGAAAATATACTACCCAGGGTACATGCACTATTAAAACAAAAGACTGTGACTAAAGTAGTGGAGGAGTTAAGTATCTCATAAAGCCCACAAAAATGCATGGTGTTTAATCCCTTTCTATTCCTATGCTGATTTCAATCTTCTTGGCTTGATATGATGGAAACACTGGTGATATAGACAAAGTAAGAAACAACATGGATGCTTTTGTAGCAGTGAAATAGACTATTTAATATAATAAACTTAGCAACAAATATAACATGAAAGATTAAATTCTATTTATAAAGATGAATGTTAAGTTGGATTTGGTTGTGTAAAGAGTAATAAGTATAAATCAAGTCAAACAGGCAATCATTAAATCATTGATCATTGATCAGAGGTCATTTTGGAAGTTTCTTTAGTTTTGGAGAAGAATAAAAATCAGAGTTCATACTTAAAGATTTGCAGACAGTTCATTACTGTTTTAACATAATTGGAAAGATACCATGTGTATTTGGATGCATGGAAAGTTGGTACTTTGAATTTACATTGTTGATTCAAAGCAGCATACCTTCAACATCATGGCAGTCAAATAGGAGATATCCTTGATGGATTGAATCTCCTGTATTTATTGTAAATTGAAGACTCCCGTGAACAGTTATAGATATGGGTAGGTTAAATATTGATTGATCCTAAAAGGTACAATAATTCACCTGTCATTCCTCATTACTATGTTAGAGCTTTTAAATTTTTAATATCTTTTCTTTTGCTTGGCTCACATAAACATAAATTCTGAAGCCATGAAATTTAGCTATTTGTGTAAAGTAGTTAGGAAGTGACTACATGTTCTTTAGTGAATAATTTTTGTTCTTTTTCCACCACACATATTGCTTGTTTGGATGAGTGAAGTGTTCTCATCAGAATAGAAGTTTTTATCTCAAAATGCTTTATAATTGTTTAGATACTTTTTAGTAAATTTTAATCTCACTTCTAAGTGTATTGGGCACAATAAATGTGTCTTCCCTTTTTAGTCCTGTACAGCAAAAGATATTCTTTGTCATTTTCTAATATTCATGCCTTATGATTTCAAATTTTTACTTACATTTTCTTGTGTCCTCCGTGCATCTTTACTGATGACTATACCTGGCAAATCAGTCCTGGTGAAACTTTACAAGCTTAGTGATATTTTAGTTGTTTTGTCAAAGTTGAATGTAATAAAACAAAATGAACTTTTGAACATTTACATTATTTATACAATAAATTTCTGTATCATCTGTCTATATTTCTGAGATGTGGTATCGTAACTATTTACACTATTTGAACTGTTGTTCTCATCTTTTTTGCCATATTCATGATGTTACAGCCATTGTTTGCTCTGGATTTCTTCAGATGATATTAGTTAGAATTTTGAGCCAAACCCTTTATTTAGTCTACAGGAGTAGATTATTCTGATTCCTGGTGCCATACTTTTTTGGGGTATCTCAATTTCAGTTAATTCCCCTTGGTAACTCAAGTTTTTGAGATATTGAACTCAGAACTTTTGGGGTCAAATCACTTTTGGATCACTCAACCAACACTTTTATCTCCAAGAACACATAGCCCAGTAGATAAAAGTAATTTGATCCAAAGAGTTGTGAGTTCAATACCTGACAACAGTAGAGGGAACAAAAAACAAGGGGAATTAACTGAAACTGAGAATATAGCAATAAAGCTGAGGACAACAAATGATTTAAATAGTGTAAAAAGTTAATGATACATGTATTGATTACTTTGTGTAATTTTTGGAAAATAAAAACTTCATATTTAAAATATTTGATTTATGTGTTGTAAAGTTTATAACTAAAAGAAATAGTTTTTGGAGTTTATGGAAAGGATAGTCAGTCATTTAAAGCAAGACAGTTTCTGCAGGTAATGTTAGGTCATTTTAAAGTGCTACTTGTATGATGTAATCTAGTGCTACCTGTCACATGGTTGGATCATCAACAACTAAACCAGTTCCCCCTCCAGGTTTTTCTAGTGAAGTTGATGGCAAGACCTGTCAAAGAGTGGATGAACCTCATTGTAGGGTCAATAGTCATCTGCCACAATGGGGTAGACTGATCAAGATAACTATGCAATCAGCTAGTGCTGTGATAACGCAGCATTGCTGAGCAGAGGACTTTCTAGATTGAAGTCAACAACCAGGATAGAAGGGTTCCCCCAATGGAATCAATGGATACATGTTAATGACTAAGGTAGGGTTGGAGATGGATTGGTTGATTGATTTGTTTTTGATGGTTTATCAACCTTTTGCAGGTTATTTAAAATCAGAAAATATTTTTGAAATTGTAAGAATTTTTTGAGATAATAATTATTTATTTATACAAGTCCTATTAATTAACCCATAGCTGGGGGAGAAGAAGGGGATTCATACCTTTCCCAAGAGCATTTGCCTGTATGTGAATATAGGAAAACCAACTGGAATTGGAAATCAGCTCTCCAATTTCTATTTCCAAGCCATTATCCACTGCACTATCTACACATCCAAGCTTACAGCATATGGTATTCCCAAGTGGTCACCCATCTAGGTACTGACTAGGCTCAACATTGCTTAACTTCAGTGATTGTACAAAAATTGGTATTTCAATGTGATATAATGAAATATGCATACACCTGAGTTCCCCCTCACTGGAATATGATTGGCTGGTGTCCGTCATAAATAGAGATGGACGTGTAGGTACGATAGAGTTTAAGTCTATGACGACACCCATTGGACTACGCCATTGGCTATCCTATTGGTCTACACCTATTACCTGCGACTACGACGAGTATCGATCGATTACTCTACCATGTACTACTTGGTTACAGTAGCCAAAACCACTTAGCTACTTTGATCAAATATATCCCTTTCTGGGACATATCACAATGTAATATGGCTGTAAGCCTTAAGTTAAAAGACTTTGGCTGTCATTTGACCTGGAGAGGGATGGCTTCTGACAGGTTTACTTGCCCAAGACAAATTATGCATGAATGGATACTTATTTGGTTTTCAAAGATATGTCGAGGGAACAGGTCAGATTCTCAGGTGTACAGTGACCCTACAACCACACCTTGTTAAGGAACTGATGGTGATCATTCTGTATGGAGCAGGAAAATGTGCAAATTTTATTAAAATCCATCATTTTTGTTCAGATTTATTAAACAAAACATTGGCCATTATTATTAATTTTTAACTGGTTTTTCTTCTACTTTGCTTTTATTATAATATTCAAGTGATTTTAAATTAATCTTATGACTGTTAAGCAAGCAGTATAGCTTGGAAATAACAAATAAATTTCTAATAAGAGTTAAATTGACTTTCTTTATTTTTGTAAACCTGACTAAAGAACTAGCCAGATGATAACTTTGACATTTATTCATATAGTGGTATTCTTTAAGATGAAAGAAAAACTAATAACAATTAGATAACTATTTGTAGCAAAGAGGCATTACAGGATTGTAATGGATGAGATTGTTGTTGGTCATCAGTTTAATATGGAAGGAGTTATGGCTTGTTTCCTAATAAGGATGAAGACTTGTATTCAGTGAACGTCAATAATGTATTTTCTCTGGGGAAATTTAAAATAACTTTTTCTCTCTGTGCCATGTCCCTCTAGAACATATGTAATTATTGTTCTTCACATCTTTTATTACTGAAAATAGCTAAATTCTAACTCTGGTCTTGAACTTGGATATTCATCCATAAAAGCTAGTCAAATCATTAAGAAGGCTCCCAGAAATGCTCTAACTCTAATTTTTACACAAAAACATTTTGAACTCAGTGAAAAAATTGGAGAAAATTTTGTTTTATTTTTAATCAATTTAAAATATTTTCAGTTTCTTTGTTGTTTCTCTTTAACTTAATCTTTATTTTCTTTTTTTAAAATTGAAATTGACAAAATGAAATGACACCCCAAAATGATGATTTCAAAAATTAAATGATTAATCTTGCATCCTCTCTTGAATTACTTTAAATATTTGATTTCTCTTCTTTATTATCTTCTCATGCTCTCCTGAGAGACAATAACAAACTAGAGAGAAATCAAATGTTGATCATTTTCTTTCCCATTTTATATATCTCAAGTTGATCACTGTTTATCTCAATTTTCATCTTGAAAGTTGATATAACTAAGATAGTAATATTTAAAAATTAGAGAGCATATTAACATTTCAGAAGCATATCCAAAAACTACACAAAAAGCATTTCTGGGAGCCTTCTTAATGATTTGACTAGCTTTTATGGATGAATGTCCAAGTTCAAGACCAAAGTGCATAGTGATTGTGAATGCAATGATCAAGCATTACACAAATTCACTCAATAGCATCTCATGGCAGACTGAGTAATGTTACAGGAGAGTGTTCATGCATGTGCAGTAAGGTCCTCTTAAGATTAATGTTAAAATACATCAAGGTTTTGTAACTAAATCTAAAATGGTACAGCCACTTATATCTGAGGATGGCTGTCTACTTGGGCAGCTAGCTAATCCCTGTTGCAGACACCTGCTCAGGAACAGATGCCACCTATGGTTCATACTGCAACTATGTTGAGCAGACCGTAGTTACAGTTTTTGGGAGAGTGCGCATGATCTAGTATGATCAACACTCTGAACAAGACCAGCATAATCAAAGCCTCAGTCACGGTGACTTGAGACTTTGTGCTAGCACAATGATCAATGGCTCCCAAAGTGTTCCATCTACCCAATTTCATTCACAAGGATTGGGTCAACCCATGTTATGGTTTTCAAACACTTTTTGAAGGTGCTGCATAAGGGGATTGCCTCCTCCAGACCAATAACATCAAGAAATCAACTTCCTGACAAATCAACCCTGGTGAGATTTGAACCCAGGTCTCATGGTTAGAAAGTGAACATTCTAACCACTTGGCTATGTAACTAGTGCATAAGATATTCAAAATGGTTCTATACTTTCTGGGTAGATCTTTCTTGCATATTCCTCTTTTGTTTATCTCAACATTCATTCATTTTCCTTCTTTCATATTATTTTCTTTTCTTTCCTCCCACTAAACACATCTGTCTGCAAATGCTAAGGGACCAACATTAAAAAATACTGCTTACAACAGAATAATAAAGTATATCTCCAATTTATAGAACCATCTGTATGTTTTAATTGCCTTTCTCTGGTGATTTATAAGGCAGATGAATGATAGTTAATGAAAAGTGAAAATTTCTTTTATGGAATGCAAGAAAATATTTGTAAAGATTGTAAACATATTTCATTTTTAAATTTAATGCTGAAAGATTTCAAAATGTATTGTTCAAAGTTGGTTCCAGGTATCGTTGATTTGATGAGATCTAAGATAGAACTACAAAGCCCAAATAATTAGAATTGCACACAGTTGCTACAATCATGTTTCTCTGTGAAATTATTTTTCATTTCTAGTAGGTTTGAAAATGATAAGAATAAACAATTAGCACATATTAACTGACTTAAAAAAAATTCTGGTTTTGTGTCAAGAATATTGTACAATATAGTGGTAGTGTCATGTCTATGAATATTGCATTAACAATTTTTTTTATAATAACACTGATTTTTCCATATTCAAGCCCTACTGCTTAAGCCATAGCTGGGAGAGGAAATGGATTCATATTGTTATAACAACATCAATAATGTTGATTATTATGATGATTGTAAGCACTTCTGGGCCCCACTTGGGGATGTTGGAATCAAAACAAATCAGTGGGCAGTTTTTGAATAAATAAATTATTAAATTTACCATGCTGTCTGTGTGACTTTGACTTTACAACAGTCAATCTTCTATAACTTATCTTTCCACCCTAAGCTCAGTGGAACACATACCTTTCCCAAGGTTATTTGCATGTAAGTGACTGTAATGAATCTGACCGGAATTTGAACTCTGCTCTTTGATTTATTATCCAAGCTGCTATCCATTATGCCACCTGCACACCTGAATTAGTGAAGGAGATTATGTTGAAAAAATATTTGTGTACAATAAATACTTTTTTCATCATTAGACTATGTTGAAGTTAACATTTTTTTAGTAAATAATCTATTTTTATAACAGTCAACCTTTATAGAGATTTCATATATCATTTCTGTGTTTCTATTCTTTAGAGAATCACAGATGAGCTTATCACAGACAGCCTGTCACAGAAAAAAAAGCAGATATGATGGCACATGCATGTTTTCTTTTGAAGTTTCTGGGATAGAACTTCATAATGTCAGATGATAAACTTCACTCCTAGATTCATAGATGGTCTTTTTCTTTCATTTACTTTTATGTTTTACCTTCCCTTGTTTCATTTGAAGTGTGTAAATCTTTTCAGAGATGTTCAAGTGACATAACAGTTGTCAGTGCAGAAAATAGAATTGTTAGTTTGAGTTCTGGTCTAGGCTATTGAATTCACTTCAAATAATGCTCTTAAAAATGAATCTATCACTTATCCAACCTTCTCAGCTATAGATAAATTAGTAGAGCAGACTGGTCTCTTTAGCTTTGGTAGGCTGCTAGTCTAGGAAAATGACAACTCTGAATTTAAATATCTTAAAAATGATGAAGAAGGAAACAGGAAACCATTTCATTATTTTTCTAAAGGATAAGCATGGCAAATACATATTTTATAGACATTAAAGAAGGAATGGTATGATGAAGAGTTATGATTGCCTATAATTAAGTAAATATAGCTTTTTAAATGTCTTTCATAAAATAATGTTATGTGCTATATAAAAATTTGTGTATTAACCAAGTTGAATGAAGAAAAATGAAGATGAGAAAGAAAAAAAGAAAGAAAAATAGAAATAAAGAAAGTAAAAAATAGAGGCAGAAGTTGAAAAAAACAAAAGGGTCTCCCCTTTTGAGAAGAGAAATAGAAGAAAATAAAAAAAATGGATGAAGATAGAAGATAAAATAAAAGAAAAGAAAGAGACATGGAAGAAAGTAAAGAAAAAAGGATGAAAAGAGATTTATTTTTGTATTCTAACAGGCTAAGAAACAATGACATCACTGGACTGCATTAAAAAATTTTTACCAAAGGTCAAAGGTTTAATTAGTGATATATGATCACTATTTTATGCTGAATTCAAAAGTACCATTCATTGTGTTTTTTTCAGGGCTGGTTTTTAAGATATGCTTGAATACTTCACAACAAGTTGTACACAATAATAACACTTATTCAAAAGCCTGTGGACTCTATTTGTCACAACCGATCATAGGTGCCTAACTACAGTGTACTCACTAACATCTACATAGCTAAAGGGGGGCAGGGATTATCACTCAGCTTAAAATGATTTTAATGTACTGTGTCAAGTGTCAATGATGAGCTGATTGCTGACTTATTTTTTCTCTTTTCAGCTGACATTTGTATTCCTGTAAAAATGGATTGCAAGTATAAGAATTATCCTGACAGGTTCTGTTATATATGTAGTAATGTGGTTCTTCCTAACTGTCAAGCAAAAATTACTGACTTTATGAAGAAGTATCATCTGGATTACTTTGGAGTCAAACTAGGGGGATCAGGATAAGCCATTCACTCCCCATGTTTGCTGTGGAGAATTTGAGGGATTGGAGGAATGGTAACAGAAAAAGTATACCATTTGTCATTCCCATGGTCTGAAAGGAAGGAAAAGATCACATTACAGACTCCTATTTCTGCATGATAAATCTAAAAGGAATAAATTGCAAGAACATGCAGCATATCCAATACCCGGATATTCCTTCTGCCATAAGACCAATCCCTCATGGCCCAGACCTTCCTGTTCCTAAGGCAGATGGTAACATGGAACATAGCTCTGATTCCGAACATAGTGACATGACTGTTGTAGCTGGAGATGGCACATACAAGCCAGAAGAGGATGACCAGCCAGTACCCTTGACGCAAGCAGAACTCAATGACCTGACACAAGACCTGGACCTTTCAAAGGAGTCTGCTCAGCTGCTAGGTACACATCTCAAAGAGAAACATCTGTTGGCACCAGGAACAATCTTCTACTGGCATTGAGACTATGAGAGAGAATTAAGACAGTTTTTTACGTTCTAGCATAAGTCATCATTAGTTTATTGCAACAACATTGTTGGACTGATCAAATCAAAAGGCTTAGAGTATGATGCTATAGAATAGAGCTGTATTAAACTTACAGCAACCGCCGTCTGTCTAACTCTCTGCATTAGCAGGGAGGAACCCGGACAAAGCTTTGCCAAGGGGCAAGGTTTAATTCCGGGAGGTTGACAGCTCTCAAACCCGCTTAGGCGGGTTTGAAGGCTATATTTTTGGCCAGGCCTACGGGCTCGGATGACCCACATTAAACTCGGCCTTGTGCCACATGCTACCCCATGTGGGGGAACAGCTAAATATAACTATAGAATAGAGACTTTTTATTGACACATCCAGCAGAAGTCTCAAAGCAGTTTTTCTATATAATGGGAATAGTTTTTCATCTATCCTTATTGGGCATTCAGTACAAATGAAAGAAACTCACAACAGCATGAATCATTTGTTGTCTCTTCTTAATTACCAGGAGCACAGATGATTGATCTGTCGGGATCTTAAGGTCATTGGACTGGTTCTACGGCTCCAAGGAGGGTACACAAAGTTCCCTTGTTTTCTGTGTGTTGGGGACAGCTGGGCTGACATCCAACATTATGTCAGACAAGAGTAGTTGTTAAGACAAGGGTTAAAACCTGGCTCGCATAACGTTTAGTCTCACACTCTCATTGAACCAAACAAAATACTGCTTCCAACCTTGCATATTAAGTTAGGAGTAATGAAAACTTTGTGAAGGCAATGGTCAGGGAAGGCAGTGGGTTTGCTTTTCCTCCAGGAGAAATTCCCATGGATATGCATGGAGAAACTCAAGATGGCCCTCAAATACGAGAACTCATGAAGGACCCAATGTTTGATGAAGCACTGAGTGAAGCTGAACTGTCCACCTGGCAGTCACTGAAGTCAGTAATTACAAACTTCCTGGGAAACCACTGGAGTGTAGAATACGCGAAGGAAATTAAAGAGCTATTAAAGAGTTTCTGTGAACTCGGGCACAAATGTCATTCAATTTTTTGTGGTTACACTTGGACTATTTTCAAAAGAACTGTGGGTATTTGAGTGAAGAGCAGGGTGAGCGCTTTCATCAAGTCATTTGCATTATGGAAGTGCACAACCAAGGCTTGAACTTTCTCACTGACTACTGCTGGTGCTTGAAATGGGATGCGGTGGCTGCTGAGCACAGGGGGAAGTCCCTGAAAAGATCTTTCATCCATGAATAGTTTCTTTTGTTTATTTTTCAGTTTACTATGGCATAATGTGAGCATTCTGTTAATATATCAACCCTAAATTTAGTATTATTTGTTTAATTCAACAAGAAATTAAGTAGAATTATGATACTGTTCTATATTTTTCAAGATCTTGTATCTTAAAAATTTGATCTGATTAGAAAAAATGAGTATGATTTTTGGATTCAGTGTAAAAGACTGCCTTAAAATCAGCTATTATATATTTGACATTGAAAACATTGCAGACCAGTGTAATTAGTGACAAAAACACATCACTTATAATTAATAATTTGAAGTACTTTTTAATTTTATTATGCAAGTCAATGTTTTCCCAATAAAATTGGTATTATTTTCAGTATTTACATGTATTTATATGAGCAATGTGTGATGTGACATTTAGTTTTATAGTATCTATCCTTATTGAAAACATTGATAATAACTTTGTAGAGAATGTCAGGTTTTTTATACCAAACAGGTCCAACATAAATTGTTATTTATAAATAAATTCAAAAAATAAAGGACTTAGAAATATGTATTTGATTAATGCATTATCACATATGCCTAAATTAATCATTATTTTACATGTTATTATGGGCTTTTTGATATTTCTGTAATTTCATCCATTTTTCAGATGTGTGGCTGGTGTAATGGTTAATGACTTGGAATGAGAAATCAAAGAGCCAAGTTTGTTACATTCACTTATATGTAAATACCCTCAAGAAGGTATTAATCCATTTTTTCTCTCCTCATCTATGGGTTAAATAATGGTATTTTTATCTGGAATAATCATTGTTATCTCAAAAAAGTTTGCTGTGATAGTCACTTGCAAAAAAAAAATTATTCTCATAATCTAAAATATATCTTGACTTTAAATAACCCACAAAGTTTTTTGCCATTGATTTTATTAACTTTTCCTCTGTTTTGACTGACATTATTTACAGCAGTTTTTATTGCTTCTCAGAGATCTTCTTTGCTTGAGTATTGTTTTCCATTCTTCTATACATCAATTTGTAATGATGGACCACAAGTTTTCTACTGATTTAATATCTGGTTCCTTTCATTAATTTGGCGTTTTTGGAAACGTTTTTTTTTTTTTTGATAAAGTAGGAAATAGGCAGAAAAATAAAGAAATATGAAAGGATATGTTTTCTCACCAGATTTATTATTTAAACTAAACAGTGAAACAATCCTAAAAGAACTAGGAATACTTTCAAAGATTTATTCTTGATGTCAGTCAGTTATGTACCATGCATGATACATGCTTAGGCAATCATGTATCTTTCAATATATGACTGCCGAGGCAGATTTTTTCCTGCAGTAGGTTGCCATTTCTTTCTGTGGTAGACCAGTTGCCATCCAAGGCTCTAGAATCTGGCCTGTCCTGCTATTTACCCATAGCTGGTGGGGGGAGAAGAATAGGATTCATACCTTTTAATCTTAAAAACATAAGATATGTACATGACATTATGTTGATGGTAAACTCACAAAAAAAATAAAGAATTGTTTATTAGACAAGTTTGTTGAAGAACACAAGAAAAAAGGATTAACCCTTAACTGTAAGAAGAATGCATGATTATTGGCAAAAGAGACAACCTAAATTACAAGCTACATACTGGAGATATCAAAATCCAACAGGTGCATAAATTTAAATATCTGTGTAATGTAGTAACAAATGATAGAAAGTGTGATAAACAAATCTGAAACACATAGGAATAGTGAAAAATGCTTTTCAGAAACTAAGCAAAATATTAAGAAATAGGAAATTTCCTTAGAAACAAAACCAAGATTGCTGAACTGCTATGTAATACTTAATGTCCTATATAGTAGTGTATACTGGTCAATCTCTTCACAGTTGAAGAGAATATGAAGTAATAGAAATGAATGTTGGAAATAGCATGGACAGAGTAATTAATGATGTTTAAAGGAGAATAGGAATGACAAAGAAAATCTTGCTAACAGTCAGAAAGAGACAGCTGAAATTTTTGAGACACATAATAAGGAAAGAAGGTTTGGAAAATTTAACTCTCACAGTACATTGTTGACAAGGGAAACTGAATATTTGACAAGTTCAAATGATTCAGTAGCAGAACAAGGAAAAGAGGGATAGTAAGTATTACTCAGAGCAATAAAAGGAAGTTGTGGAGAGTCATGATCGCCCATATCCTAAAAGGATATGGCATATGAAAGAAAAGAGCAACAGTGTGTTTTGAAAACTTAAGAACGCAACCATAAAAGGTGAAAGCTATGTGGGTCAATTGATTAGTAATCTAAATTTTATATTTTTTTATAGAACCAACAATTATGACTTTCAAAACTAAAGTTGACTGTATTTCATTTTGTTTTATGTAATAAACAACAATAAATGTGTCTGTGGAAAAATATATGCCCAAAGACCTCTTAATTTTTGATTATATATAAAGTTGTTAAACAACTTTTTGTCTGTATATAATTCCATTTTGTAATTTCAACACTTGTTAAATTATTTACAAATAGCATTATGAATTTTTATATTTTACCTACCCTTGAAATAAAAGGACAACTAGAATTACTTATTTTGCTTTTTGAAACTTCCATATATAAATTATATAACTTCCATGAAACAGGTTTATAGTGAAATGATCTTGCATGTTTCCAGATGTATCAGACCCCATTGACTGACATGTCAAAATCACAAAGAGCTTAAAAAATCACAAAAATCATATAACTTGAAAACTTGCAACACCAGCAACAATTAAAATGGATAATACATATAACTAGTAAGGAAAATAATGATATAACCAAAATGTTGACTTTCCACACTACTTTAAACTAAAGGTTAGGAAGGAAAGTTTCATCAGTACTAGAAAGTGTGATAGTAGTGAACTTGAGAAGTTTGTTTGCTTGAAAAACTATTTTAAGAGAAAAATTTTATAAATTTCAGCAAAATTTTATAAATTTCAGCAAAAGTAATGCTGTTTGACTAACTGTTCAATGCCAAATGTTTCCTTTGAAGGACACAGCTTACAATTATCATTTCTGGTTGTCTAGTGAAATAAACTCATCTATTCCTGGTATTTTATATAAAATAGGTTTTGTTAGTTCTACTCTTACTGCTTCTTGCAATTTAAATAAAGGCTTGTAGCACATATATCAAGCTGTGTGTCTTCCTTTTTTTTTATTAAAATAATTCTGTTGCAAAATTTGGAATTCTAACAGTAGCCATATATATATATAGGGTGCAATTGATAAATTGTTATCTAAATTATGCCAAAATGAAAATAACACTGATATCTCATTTTAACAGATATATTTACCAAAATTATGCAAAAATATCCTGAAATACTAAAGAGTAAATTTATTCAATAAAATTGCCATTGGCTTAACCACAGCCTCCAGACAACTTTGGAATCTCCTGCAACACTTCTGGATGGTCTCCTTGTTTAAGTTTGTGAATGCCACCATAACCCTTGTCTTCAGTTCATCTTTGGTGTTACAAAGAGTTTTGTTGGTCTCTCACTCAACTGTGCTTCACATATAATAATCAAGGGAGTTGCAGTCAGGGGAATTAGGTGGCCAGATGTAAGGGGTGATGTGATTGCAGAAATTGTCTGACAGCCATGACTGGATTCTCCTGCTTGTGTGGAATGGTGCAGAGTCCTGTTCCTGTTCCAGTAGTGACCCTCTTGACCCAGGGCAGCCCTACCTTTCTCAAGGCAATTGATGTAGGCCCTTGTGTTGAGTTTGAGGCCCTCA